ACAAATCAGACAACCCAGGCAATCTCATTGTCTCAAGCACTGGAATTATCACAACTTTATTCAACTAGTGATATTTTGAAAGTTTTGACCATGTCTACACTGCAGCTGTCCCTGACTAGGTATGGACTATCAGAAAATATGGCTGACTTGCAAAGAGTTACTATTTTCATCTGAGCATCCCCACAATCAACAGAGAAAACATACCTAGATATACTTGGACCAGCTATTTACCATCATTAATATATTTAGTGCAGTTTATAGAAGGCAGTTTCAACCACTCAGATCCTGAATTAAACATCAAGATGTGCATTCTGGGCTGAATTTTAGCAACTGCCCTCCTCCTCCAAATTAGCGCACATTTAACACTCAGGGGATTATACAGAACATCTCACCTTTACGTAGTAGGATTTCCAGAATTTCTGTATGCCCATTCTGTGCTGCCAGTGCTAGAGGGGTGAGCCCATACGAACTCCGTGGATCTGGATCTGCTTTTGACCAAAGCAGTAGTTCCACCATGTCTTTCAAGCCTAATCTGGCTGCCTCATGTAAAGCTGTCCTTTTGCTGATACACTGTAGATTGATATTGGCACCAAATTTTATCAATAAGGAAGCAATTTCATATGATTCATGTTTAACTGCTGTAAGATAGTAAAATATGAAAGAACAATATTTCAAAATTTCATTTAAGTCTCAGCTATTGAAGTGAACTATTCAATCTCCACTGAGCATATCAGGCTAAACCTTTGTTTAGCAGCTTCACATGCTGTTTATATACAGCTAAAAGGGTCATGTAGCAAAATGAGGTGCTAAACTTTAAAATAAATTTGTTCTTCAATTTTAAGAAAAGATAAAAGTTCTACAGAACTCTCCCTCATTCACATTTAGTGAACTTGTCTTTTTTGGATCATGGATGACTAAGCAGAAAATATATTTTCAAGTAGAGGAGCAACATGTTTGGCTCCCAGCAAAACAGGACAGATTCATCAACTGGACATCCTGGTGTCATAAAATAGGGACAATAGGGATGGACAAGATCCTATGAAGTCTAGCCAGGATTATCAATATGGAGAGATAATGAGAGTTGTAGTTCAACTTCATCAGGAGGTCCACAAGTTTCCCATCCTTGCCTCATTAAATTGCTGAGCTTTCAGATACTATAATTTGCAGAGACCATCAAGATTCTCTGTTGCAGGCCCTGGTTTCTCACCAAGAAAGCCACAGGGAAAGCCTTTTGTAGCAGGAACAGAAGCCCATTTAAAATAAATGGAATTTAATGAGAATATTAGAGATCCTATTTGGTTCAGAAACATAGCTGACAACAGTAGTGTGGGGAGCAGGAAGCTGTTCTTTAGCCACTAGCTCTCCTATCTCACAGAGGTTTCCTGTGAAAACACAGAATGGTTGGAGGGAAAGAAGTCACAGGAAAGCTGCTAAAGGGCCACCAGCTTTCATACTAAAACTGCCTATGCAGCCCTGGAGAAGCAGCACTGCATTGTCCTTGGGGGAGGTGGGTGCATTTTTGACATGTGCCCTGTGGTCTTCTGGAATCGTGCTAGATGTGTATCCAAACAAATAGATTAGAGGAGATTTTAGGGGGGAAGTACTGCAAGGAGGTATATTTTATATGACTGTAACAACAGACTCAATGGTACAAAATTTCAAAGAATGGGATCAGGGGAACAGAATATATGAGAATCTGCCTCTCAGGTATAAATATTTTCTTTCAAAGCATGAACTAGACTCCAGTTTTTCCTCTCAGTCTAAGAACTAAATAAATCTGGGGGTGGAAGTAGCAAGTGAAAGGAATGGATAAAAATTAAAATTTATTCTTACCACCTGAACAGCATAGAAATAGGCAACTGTATCCTAAAATTGTGTATGGAATAACACTGTCAAACAACACAAGCTATTTTTATTTTGTAACTGAGAATGTTTAAATATTGCAAGATAAACAATATAATTTGGCTTACCAATAATTAATGCAGAATCTCCTTCTTCATTCTTAATATCTGGGTTAAACCCATTGACTAGTAGAAAGTTGACATTTTTTATAAGACATTTGTCCACAGCAAGAAACAGGGGAGTTTCTCCTTTCAGGTTGGTCTGTTGCCACACAGTGGGATGTGAAGCTGAAAGAGAGGGAGAGTTTTGTTTGAATTCATAATGAAATTAATGAGAATCACACATAGTGCTCACAGACAGTTTACCTTTCAGAATTATTTCTAGAATATTCTTGTTTGGCTGTACTGCTGCTTCATGAAGAGGAAGCCAGCCTTGGGAGTCTACTTCCTGAAAAGTAGATCCATTCCTCATCAACTTGAGTAAAGACTCTTCTTCACCTGTTGTTGTATGAAAGATCAACAATTTACGCTCTTTGTACCCAAAGATAACTCTGTGAGTTTATAGTGGTAGTATGTAACAAACTCTTATTAAAATAATAAAGGGCTGGTTCACACATGCAGGTGCTACTTTTAATTTCTCAGCGCATGAGGGCTGAGATCAATTAATTGAGATCGTTTGTGCATTTTGAGTAATTCCCAAGAAAATTGAACCTATTACTTAACTGTCCGAATGGCAGTGATGATCTTTCTGTAATCTGAACTTGTTGCAAAACAAAAGCTGCAAACGGAATACAGTAGTGTTAGATAATTCAGATAAGCCACAAATACTGGTTAATTTCTCATATCACACTGAACTTCAGAGTATACAAAAAATTGGAGAAGAAAATAATAGAACGTATTTAATTTGCATTTTTAATTTATTGGTATTTCATGCAGGAAAAACCAGATCCTATATACTTGGAAGTAAGCTCCTGGAGCATTCTGAAATTTAGAATAATTTACCAAACACTTTGCCTTGATTTGACATGTCTTGACATTTGCCTGCATTTTTAACCACCACCAAAATAGATGCCACTCACTACTGCTTTTGTTTGTCTTGTTTTTTATCTTTAAAGTACTTGTATCTGACTCACATGCTGATAGCCATTAATTTGGAAGTTCAGTGAGACCTAGTAATGCGATTTGCTCCTCTTCCTCTAGGCTATACCCACAATTTGTCTCAAGATTTGTACAACCTGAATGCGATGGTCAAGCCAAAAGATCAAAATCACCAATTGTAAGGAGCAATTCCCTTCAGTCACACCTGAAACCCTGAAGCACCAGGATTGTTGCAAGTATGTCTGTTTGGGAAAAGGACCCCAGTCTGAAGGTGTTTCCCTTTAGCACATGTGTGTGAATGTGCGTGCATGAGAAAGCTACAGCTTGTTCAATTTTTGTTGTAACAAGAAGCCTCCAAAATTCTGCCTTTTTTTGTTTCAGCAAGAGCACATACAGTTCTTTTTGCTTTCTGTAGCTGAAAACTATATAAAGTAAATCAGTTAGTATAACTTCCTCCATTTCCCCCACAGTTCTCACAACTCTGTGCCTTTATCTCATTGAATTCAGAGCACTATTCTCTGTACTTTAGGCCTTGCTCTTGTTGAAACAAATGTGCTGTTCTCTGAACTCCTTGCTTTTCTCTCACTGAATGGAATAATTGCTAACTTCTCATACATCCTTACTATTTCTTCTTTGACCCTAAAAGGAACAGTTCCTAAAGGATTTCCAAAGGTTTGCACCAAACTGTTGTTTTTAGGGTAACAAAAGGGGGGAATTGTTAAATATGTAATTGGAGAGTAATCCTATTAACTGTATTTCATTTTAATGAAATCCAGAGGAGATGAAATCTAATGTTGTTTTTGCTTTGGCTCTGCATCCTGGCTTTTGGAATGTAGCCACCATCATGCTACTCAAAGGCCAAGGGTCCTTGGCCCAGAAGCAGTTGTATCCTCCTGTTCCAGGGCCTACTGATTCCTGAAGGAGAATGGGATAGGCAGGAAATTGGCCTTTTCTACCATTAAGAGTTTACAATGTTCTGGAATAAGGAGTTAGAGTCTGGAGGATGAAAATTATTATTTGAGGGGGGGGGAGCTTACCCTTCACTGTAATTAAATATAGTAATGCTTAGGAAAATAGCATTTAGTAATTCTGTCTACTCAACTAACAAAATAGCCCCAAAGGGCAGAGATGGGCAACAGGCAGTTCTTGATGCCTGTTGCCTCCCCTTTGCCTGATTTTTTTTTTTTTTTGCAATTCCCAGAGCCGCCAGAGATCAATTTACCAAACCTTGGTGTCAGGCTCCCCAATAACAGGGTTGGCAAAATCTTTGGTATTTTTTCCTACAAACTAAGAAGGAAATAGGATTAATAAAGTTATTTACTGATAAAAATAATTTAAACCTAAAACCAAAAAGGGGAAATAGCAGCCTGTCCCTCTGCTGAGATCCTCAATCACCTCATTGTCATTAGCCACATAGATCCTGGCAACCAAAGTAGGAAGTTTATCCCCAACTGCAAAACTTCTGCCTACTCTTCTTTAGAAGGAGGTAGCTGAAGATCAATACTTTGTTTTAATAAAACATTAAAAAAAAAACAGAATTTACAAAGTTAAAAACAGATTATAATTAACAATAAAATAGGTACTAAGATTATTTATACATTTATACAGATCAATCTTTTTTTGTTAGAAATTTTTCATATTAAATAGGTACTAGCCACATTTACAAGTAAAAATATGCCTCTCTCCTAAAGATATAACAATTATCATGTAAACATACAAAATACGGAGATCCCATGCATGTAACAATACTCTCTGAACAGTTCACAGCATTCTATGGAATTGAACTTTAAAAATTATATAGATTCTGTTCCAAGAAACATCCTAACAGATGCTAGAAACAATATAGCAAAGGCAGTGCACACCTGTCATTCTTCTCTGCAGTCACCGTCTTGCTCCTGGGTATGTCCTGTAGACTTTGCTGAATGACAAGCTGCGTAGATATGTCATCCTCAACATCCTCATCATACATTTTTGTAGTATCATACAGGCTAAAACCACATATCTTAAATTACAAAATGAGGTGGGCCTAAAAGATATTAAAAGTCTTTTAATATCTTGAATCTTCTAGAAATATCAGTAGCTATAGATATAGAAATATGTGATGATAAATTTGCTAAGAAACAAAAGCAAATAATTCTTAATTGGACTGTTTCAGTCGCTTTTTGAGCATTGACTTGACAGACATCAAGGCCATCTGGTTCACATTAAACATAATCAGGTTATCAATTTGACTTGTTTTTTGCTCTTCTTGTTGAGTACATGCCCTGTGCCAAGGAACCCAGAATTGGAGGGCTCAGTTCTTCCTCATGCCTCATTCTCCTAACTGTACTGTCCCCCCTCCCCCAAGCTCAATACGTTCCTACTGATCTCTTTTGCAAGGCCTTCCCTCGTTCTGCTCAGATCCACTGTAAAGAATGTGCTGGGTCATATACATTAAAAAGCAACAGTTCAAACTAAAGCTGTTCAGACTGAATGGAAAGAGATATAGAAAATCTGTATTTTACTTATTAGTAAACAAGGAATATCATCTGCAATGCAGATGTTTCCTTGTAAAAATCACTAAAATTTGATTTAATAGTCTTTTACTGTTCAGGAAATATTCTCCATTGTACATTAAAACATGACTTACACAAAAATAAATACATAAATATTGAAAAAGTGTTTAAAATATTAAGCAAAGTTTATAGGACACAGGAAAATCACAAAATGTTTTTCTCTCTAGAATGCTAATATATAAAACAAGCAAAACATGCAAACACGCACACACGTGTGTTACTCCTGGAACGGTGAAAAAGAACATTCCAGAAATGCCAACATTTAACTTTAGAAATAGCTTAGAAAGTTAAGCTTTGGGAAAACTGACTTTTTAAAATGACAACACACATTTTCCTCACCTTTCTCCCACATTTAAAACATAGACGGCTCACTCTAAGCAAGTGTCAAAACCAAATGTGATGTTTGATGTATTGAAAAACGATCCTGTGCTTCTTGCATCATTCGCACCCATTAATAACTCACTATAAATATCTGACCATAAGATATTCTCTCTTGCAGACAAGACACATGGATTAAATGAGGGTCAGCAAATGAACCACAGGATCAAAAGAACAGGCATTTTAAAATCAGAATGTAATAAGTAATTGTAAGGAAAACTTAATTCTTTTTCAGAAAATTCCTAAATGTATAACATATAATTAAAGCTGCATCCAGTAAGAACCTGAGAAGTTATTCAGTACCAGATAACTGGTCATATATACAAAAACATGGACATTGATTGATTGATTGATTGATTCACTCATTTATTATGAGCCATGAAGTCAGTGTTTACTCTTAGCGATCACATAGATAGATTTTCTCCAGGACAATCTGTCCCATCCTGGTCTTTCAGGTATTCCAGCAGTGCACTGAAGGACATGATGCAGCCAAATGAAAGTATATTTAAATACCATTCATTTTAATGGGAAAAATAACTGAAAACAATACTACTTAAAATGCTCAACTTGTGTTAAGGATAACTACATTTTCTACTATGAGTGTCTTCCAGTAGAGAGAAATTATGTCAGGTATAGGGTTAGGGAGTTTAACAGAAGAACTTCATTCACCTCACTGGATGAGGCGGTGGATTTGATTCAGCCCCAAAGCAAACATGTACTTTGCATTCTTATTATACATACGGGAATCTACCAAATACTTTGTAGGAATTTGTTAGGCCTGCTTATGAATAGCTTTTGGGTAGTGAGTTCAGTTCTAATGTTAGCAGACATCATACATCACAAACCAAACAGCCTATTTGCAGCAACAGAAGCTGGGCATTTCACTTAGTATTGACCAAAACTATGCAAACCAGAACTACATCTCCAAGACTAGAAGCCATTACTGTATAAAACTGGGGGTGCACTTGAATCAGAGAGATGACATACCTAGAAAACACCAATTTTGCAGGGAACCTCTAGGACTTTGTCTCAGTTACAGAACTTGGAAGGGCAAGTTAACTTTCCATTAAATAGTTCTACTCTGCCCCTGTAATCCTGTTAAGGAACAAGGCCACTGGGCTAAGTCAGTTCATAAATAAAAATTGATTTCTCACTCTTTCTGTGGTACCTGCTAGTTTTAGATTGCATATGATGCCTCAACGTAAAATATGCAGCGCATATTATCAATTATGCTATCACAAGAACTATTTCCACAATATGATCAAGAACTAATTCAAGCCATTCTGTTAAAGATGTGTGCCCATCCACACGTAAGCAGCAAAGTATATGCTTATATATTTTAAAAAACATACACACAAAAAGATGCAGAAGCATGGCTGCAAAAGAATGGTTCTACTCCAGATAAATACAAGGTAGTCAATTCCACCTGAAAACAACAGAATAAAGGGACTGCTATTGACCTACTTTCATTAATTTAAAATAAGATGTAAGCAAGTCTAACTTTATGCAGGCAAAGATGATACTTCTCATGATATAAGTGATCATACAAATATGATCTTGGTACAATTATTATACCAATAAAGAGCATAAATAAGAGAATAAATAGCAGAAGTCATAAGAAGTAACAACTATAAGGTGTTTGCTAGGCATTTTCTTGCACCCCTGATTTCACTTGCACGTAATTCTTAATTAAAATTAATAGAACTGAAATGCTTAATTTTGGCTGAATTCTGTCCATGCTTTGCACATAATTCTCATAACGTAGATAGTCACACAGTATATGTAACTTTAAAATGTTTCTGGAATTGTATTGTTTGCTTTTGCCAGCAAGAGCGCACCCTAAGCAAAGTTCCACTGAGCATGCTCTGTCCAGTAGGAGATGTGGGGGTGGCCATTTTAATCAATCCTCTAGGCCAGTGTTCCTCAGCCTTGGCAACTTTAAGACGTGTGGACTTCAACTTCCAGAATTCCCCAGCCAGCATGTAAGTCCACAGGTCTTAAAGTTGTCAAGGTTGAGGAACACTGCTCTAGGCCCACATTCCAGAGTCTCTCACCCTCCAAAAAAGCACAGGAGTTGTTCAGAAAGCTGAAATCAACACAAACTGAATCAAATGTTTTAGATAAAAGAAATCTTATCACCATTAGTTATATACAAATGCTAAGAATTGAAAGGAAGAAACAATATTTATGAGCGGAAGGAAAGTTATTTTTCAGCAACTTCGAAATGAGTTATGATGGACTAAATAAGCCATATTTAGCACTCTTCTTATAAAAGAACAGAAAAAAACCTGCATCAATAAACAATAAAGGCATTCAATTTATTGTAAAATATTGCAATCAATTTGAAAGTCTAAATGATCAAAATATTTAGAAAGTTCTTTGCTCTAGGAAAAGATATGAATATACAGTATTTAGTCTTATCTTGTTTGAGTTCTATATAATTAGTCATCTAGCTGACAAAGTAGAGCAACTCCTCGCTTGATCCAATGCTGGACTGGATTATCAGTTAACAACTTCATTGCAATGACAAAGTTAGTTGAATGCCCAGTTGTGGAAAGGACTCCTTTGCGTTCACTTGTCTTGTACAATGGACACACATACGCATTTGATCTCTTAATCTCTGATGTTTTGGCTGCAAGGGAAAAATATTGTAAGGTGGAATCACTGAGAATAATGCATAATACTAAATAAGAATACTGAATGCCTACAGCTTATAAACCACACTGCAACAAGATAGAGTAAAACTGAAGGGAAGCAGTAACCCCACACACTGCATCTCTCAATGTGGGCAATCAAATGCATGAATGTGACATATTAGGGATTAACTTCTTACCCTTCTCACTGACATCTTAGCTTTGAGTATGATGGGAATTCTTTTACATTATTTTCATTTTTAAAACATTCCACTACAATGGTAGCAATTACAGAATAAAATCAAATGGTAGTTTAAAATCTTTGAGTTCAAACAGACTAATACGTAGATCAATGTAACATAAAATACACTTTTAAAGACGATGTTTGAGAAAAAAGAAAAACAAAAGAAAAACAAAACCATCACATTCAAGCAGAAGCATGGGGGAAAATGTGCCTTGATCTGTGCCTAAAGTTCAGTAGCAGTGTTATGTGAGTGCCTCCAGAGATACAGATTAAATTAACTGGCCAAATATTATGTATTTTAATTGTAAGCATCTTAAATTAATATAATTTAATTTAATATAATTTAATCACTGGCGTCGACGGCAGGACGGCAGCAAGGAGCGCACCAGGGGCGAGGCTGAGGCGGACCAGACTGCGACGGTGGAGCGGAGGCCAGAGCCCGAGAGCCCACAGTACCTGAAACCCATAGAGACATTAGGACCTTGGGGGTTCTGGGCTCTAGCCCCTAACATGGCAAGGGGGCTTCCCTTACCCCCAGAGAAGAGGCCGGGGGGACTGGAGTGGTTGTGGGGTGCGTTGGTGAGGGGTGTGTGGATGTTTGATGAATGTGCTACCCTCTGCCCAGGTGTGAGGCAGAAAGAGGGTAGGAGTGGATGTGGCCTTCTTCTCACCAGCTAGTGAGAGAGGCTGGTTGAGACAGGGAGCATGTTAGGGAAGGGGGAGTTGGGGTGACTAAGCCCCGGTTGGTGCTGAGAGCAGATAGCTGAAGTGCCACAAGGGCCCATTTCCCCCCCCCCCCATATCCCCCATACCACCAAATTTTGTGGTATGGCAGGCCCCTTAGGTCAGAGGCCAGGAGGGTGGGTGGAGGATCACCTTGGGTGATTCAGGGTGGGTATTCAGGTGGTGACAGGCATGGGACTATGACAGGAGCCAGAGGGGAGGCCATTCCAGGGGAAGACGCCCCCAGTGTGTTATACCAGTGGCGTGTTCCGGCCTGCTGAGATGCCCGGGGAGTGGTCTTACCCAGTTATCGGAACAGTTTGATCCTGTTGGCCCTGAGGAAGTGGACAGGGTCCTCAGGGCTGTTAGCACGGCTACCTGTATTTTAGATCCCTGTCCCTCCTGCTTGGTCAAAGCCACCAAGGAGGTGACTTTAGGGTGGGTACTGGCGGTGGTCAATTCATCCTTGCAGGAGGGGGTGTTCCCGAAACCTTTTAAGGAGGCTTTGGTCCGCCCCCTCCTCAAGAAACCATTTCTAGATTCCACCCTTCTGGACAATTTTCATCCAGTTTCCCACCATCCCTTTTTAGGAAAGGTGGTAGAAAAGGTAGTTGCGCAGCAGCTTCAGAGGATCCTGGAGATCTATGCATGCTAGCATCCAGATGTAAAAGATACATTTCTGATCTGCTGAGGAAACAGCAAGGACATCTTGCTAAGTAACTTAAACCTCGTAAAGTAACATAGAACCTAACATGAATGGATCCATGAATTTGCTGCAGGAGAAAAGGGATTGGACATTTCCAAATAATTATTTATCAACTATTGACTTACCTGGTTTTATCCAAATAATGGGCATCATGTCAAAGAGTATTTTTGGATGTTGTTCACTTAGGAGCCCTCTGGTGGGGGGAAAAAGAAACAACTGTGGAAAACTAACATAATACACATAAGAAAAGAATAAAGTTTTATGTGGCATAACTTATTTAGGAAAAAGAAGACAAAATATAGCTACTTTCAGTCATCATAAATCTGATCTTCCATCATAAACTAAGAACTATTGCTTCAGCATAGAGTTATTATGTGTATGAATTTACTTGTGAATGCCGCTTCCTATTCAATTCAGTCGGGGGCAATGATCTGAACAAATATTAATAGGCAGATCATCCCAGTTTGAGAACATCCAGGTGTTTGAAGATGGGAATGCACAGTAATGTCTTCATATTAGTTATGACGTAGTAAAAAATGTACAAATCCTGCTATTATTTGGAATATTTATCTAGTATTCCCATATTTTAAAGAGAAATTTGCCTTTAAATCTACTGAGCATATATTACATCTCATGATTCTTATGAAACAATTAATGCATTCCTGTTTTAGAGTGCCATATCTCTGTGGCAAACATCCAGGAGACCACAGCCGGCAGCAAATACTTAAAGTTTCCTGTTTCTCACTCCTGCCATACAGTGGTTGTCTGGCATTATGCACCTCAGTGTGATGACCCTGTTTTTATTCCTGTTAATTTTGCTAGGAAAGGGATGTCAGATTACTGAAATAAGTTGAAAATGAGCATTCAAGAAAAGATGGGGAAGCAGTTTTAATATATGCCATGCACATTTACTACTGACTTTGCTCTATCCCAGCGAGCTCCATCTAAAAATAGCCCATGGATATAAACACCATCTTCTGGAGCAGTATTCGAAGTATCCTTTGGAATAACCTGAACCAAATGAAAATAATAAATTATTGCTTTCTTGTTTCAATCTTTTGTTCTTTTCAGATTGGAACTATGGTGACCCTTTTGGCAATTAAATATAATTTCAGCACCAGCTTTTCCAATGTGAACAGAGGAAGTACTGTATTTGAGGATTTCTCTGTCTTTAAAATTTCCTGTTTGTATGTACCATCCAGACCTTGCTTTCTGTTGACTGTGGCTAGGTAAATTAGTAATGAATAGAGATACATTCATTGGATACAAAGCAGGAAATGTGCTTCTTCTGACATGGCACAGGTGTTCTTGCTTTGCCTGTCACAAGCTCCCTAAAGAAACAGTGCCTTTTCCTGAGCTTGGGCCCAAGCAACTACAATCCAAGCCCAGGAAAATGCATGGCTCCTTTAAGAAGCTTCTAACACATACAGCAAGCATACTTATGTTGGATTCTAAACTTCATTTCCACTTTGGATCCAAACAACTGCACATATCTAACAATGAACAGTATCTTTATTGCCCCCATGTCCTCACAACTTGTTAGATTGCTATTAAAATGGAAGATTTCCAGGTGAGGAAAATGGCAAACCAGATGTCTCCAAAGCAGCAGAGATGACGACACAGCGAAGAATGACAAACCAGCAGCAAGCGCAGTCCAACAGAACCTCTCCAGACAAGGAGAAGATAAGAGATTGCCACTTGTGATCCAGATGGCCGCTCCTCACAAGGAGACCACAGGACAGCGGTTGACTTGCGGGTCTGAGTGCTGGGAGATGAGGGAAGCCATCAAGCTCTCAACTGTGGTGGAGCCTTTAAAGACACTATGTTCAAATAACCTCACTTTTTAAATAGCTTTGAATTTATAATTATTTTACAGTTAAAAGAGGTCTTCCAAACAACATATTTGAAAAACTACCTGGTGAATAAAACTTCATCCTGAAACAAGAAAAATTAACCAACAGCTTAAAGAATTTAAAGAATAAAAAATAAATGGCAAAAAGCTAAATAAGAATTTAATTTAAGAAAGTTTTAAACAAATTAAGGGACCAGATAAATCTAGAATATTAAGACTTTTGCTAAGATTTTTGAAAAATTGAGTAAAGAAAATAATATCTTCATGGAAATATAAATTATTTAGTCTATTAGGAATTAGATCATTGGTTGAAAGTTCAAAACAAAACAAAACAAAACAAAAAACAAAACAAAACAAAGAAACCTGAGATTTTATGATTGTAGAAATGGGACACTAGAGGGGACTAAAAATCCAGGCAGGGAAAAGGAAAATGAAATATACAAAATGACAGGCGAAGGTATGACACTTGAGACATTTCAAAGGATTTTTGAAGGACTGGGAGTGAAACTTATAGTTAAACTTACAACAATAATTTCTGCACCTGCAAATTTATTTTCAGAAGAAGATTTTAAAGACGAAAGATGAAGAGAATAGCATGAAAGAATTTATAGACAGACCAGATTAAGAGGTGAAACAAATTCTAGCTGATGAAGAAATATTGGAAAATAAAGAAATTGTGGATTATAAAATAGAGAAAACAGTCAGAGTAGAAATAGAAATCACAAACCAAGAGATGAAAAAAGACCTGGACAAGGGCTTCTTACTGGATTTACAAAAGAGGGTTTCTAAAGCCTTAAAGAATTCTTTGAGATGGGAGAAAGAAAGTTTGAATGGAGATTCAACTCTGCAACACCAACCTGATGAAATAAAGATTAAGATTGTCAGAAACAAAAGAAAGGAATATAAAGTTGACTTGTTTGATCAGGGATAAACTAAGAAATATTTCTATAAAATTCTGGAAACCCTTTATGGACTTTTTCCCAACACATGGACAAAAATGACAACAATTTTTGGATTTGCAAATGGATAAGAGAGGTATTATGGGAAGAAGTGATTTATGTATGTAACCTTACAGGCAGTGGGGAAATACTAATTTGTCTGTATTTGTTGCAAGGAAGATCAGGAGTTGCTCCTTATATTCTTTTTTCTATCTTTTTTCTTCTTTTTCCTCTTTTTTCTATTTTCTTTTGCAATTGTATTTCTTTTCTATTTTCTATTTTCTTTCTCATTTCAGTTTGTGTTATCTTTTAGTATTGTCAAACTCTTTAATAAAAAGTATTTTTAAAAAGATTGCTGTTACAATGGTAGATTCTCAGCCTACCAATCTGAATCGTCAGAGACAGATTATATGGTGTGAAGAGAGAGAGTGGCATACAGTATCATGTATTGGCTGACTTGTCTGCTCTGGAAGTTAAGAATTGGAAGATTCTAGGCTATTGGGAGAACGAAAAACACCCTGAAAGAAGACAGTGGCACACCATTCCATACTGTTGCCAAGAAAACTGCATGGATGTGTCTGCATAGTCACTAGGAGTTAAACCTGATTTTAGGGAAGGCCTTGCAAGGTTCAGGAAGGCAGTGCACAGCCAGCAGCTGCCTCATGAAGGGCTGGGCCAGGTGCGCCTCAGCAGTGGTGGGACAGTGAAGGTCAGCTGGGGCGGAGTGCAGGGCAATGAGGGTGCAGGGCGGAGTGCAGGGCAGTGGGGATGGCAGATGGTAGGGTGGCAGGGCCAGCAGAGTGCAGGGCAGCCAAAAGGGCAGAGATGTGGGCAAGATAGGCGGGTGAGGACAGCTCACTTCGAGGTGAGCACGGCAGGGCAGGAAAAGCATGAGGTCCTGGCTTAATGATGGCACGGTCCTGGCCTAACAACTGTAACTGGGACTACTGGAACTGCCGTCGCTAAGCGGTGTGGTCATGTGATGTTTCACCTAATGACCATTTTGCTTAGTGATGGAAATTCTGATCCCAATTAGGGTTGTTAAGTGAGGACTACCTGTATCTGGGAAGGAAACAATAATCTCTGAGTCCAACTTTTTGAATGGCTGAGCAGAAGGTAAAAACCTAGAGGAAAGCTGCACCAAGCCCCCTACCACAAGCGTGGCACCCGCTTCCCTATGTGTCTGTGGCCCACCTATAGGCAACTTTTGCCAAATGTAGCTGTTCCTTTAAGAGGAACTGAGCTGTCTGCTTCTCCTGCACAGGTTTTTCCTCATTTCTTTCTGTTTTTCCAGGCTAAGTTTATGTTTTTCTAATACATGTTGCATACCTTCTTCAAGGCCCTCTCCATATTTGACTACAGTACGCAGCAGCTATTACCAAAAAGTCAGCTTCCCCTAGAAGGACACTCAAGATTGGCCTGCCTTGTTTCTCTTGAATATAACAGGGAAAGAAGGAGAAACTCTGTCAGGCTTTTAAATATTCCATTATTATAGCCTATGACAGTGAAGTAGAATGCTAGTATTTCTTGTACTATCTGTTTCCTGACCTTGTCTACCTTGAAAGACTGACCATTATGAATCAAAATAGGTACACTTATGAGTTAACACAATTATCTATTGGTACACTTTGCAGACAAATTTCTATATAATCTGTAAAATTCAGCCTTTGCAACCTAATTATACCTGAAACTCATATCCCAGGAGATCAATAGGGATCGTGTACTTCCTGGCATAATTCTGCATCGCTCCAGTTAAAAATGCTTGTGTGAAAAAGAACCCTGACAGCCAAAACACACACGGTTTTCCAGTGTTATACCAATCCTTGGAAAAGAAATAGAAGAATAATATTGGATTAGAGCCATATTTTACAAAATCTCATTGGCAAATTGTTAATAACTGTAGCAAATTATTTCACAATAATAAAAGGATCAATTACACGTTCGCTGCTTTACCTGTAAGAATTTCAGTCTAGCTAGAAAATCTAGAATATAGCTGCCCAGTGGTTTCAGACTTGGGTATGAACGTTTAGCCCAGTTTTCTGCAACTTTTCCAACGAGGAGGCTGGCACAAAGGGCCTCTAGTTCAGAATCCATCACAACCAATCCTTTAATGGCTTTCTTCAGATTGACCAAAGTTGTCCGTATGGTTCGTATTAAACTAAGTGTGCAAAAAATGTAGACACATAATTGAAGCTGCAAATTTTATGAGCTGCAAATGATTATACCTCTCTATGAAACTAAAAAATGATACTGCTATATTATGACAGCTGTAAAATATATTTGTAATTCAAGTTTCTACAATAGGATTAAGAGATTTAATAGAATCCATGTGCCTATCTGGAAAATTAAATGGAATATATAGAAATATGAAAAAAAACAAAGCCCTTACTTATTAAAACGTTCCATTTCTTGTACCAGAACAGTATTCATACTTTCTTCATATCTCACAGGATATTTAAAAAGTGCTGCTTCAATATCATAATCATTCGGAAGCTAGAAAGGATGATATACTTATTTTAATTCTGACAAATGTAAATTTATTTTATGAATGTATTTATAAATCAAGATATGGCAAATACAAAGAATTTAAATTCCAGTTGCAAAATTGCTATTACACATACTCTGTACATTCTACATAGCACCAGTTTCATTCCAGTGAGAGCAGGAGACAGTCATTTAGGGAGGTAAATACCTTTCAACAAACTCATATGAAATCCTCTCCCTCTCTCTCTCCCCCTCCCTCCCTCCCTCCCTCCTTCCTTCCACTAAAAACAGATGTTTTTAGGGGAATGTTTGTTTACAACATTGTTGTGAATGGAATCTACAAGTCAGACTGCAGATTACAGACTCAAATTCACATCTCCACAAATGATGGCTCTGTCACATACAAAGAGGTTATTGATTTCTTTGTTTCTGTTTGGGCTGTTGCATTTTATTTCTTTGAGTGTTATGGAATTGGGCATTGAAGTTCAGCTGTTGTTCATATTTCAAATTACAGCAAATATGTCCCTATTGCAATAACATTATTAAAGATATATTTATATATTAATAATATATTAAGATATATTTATTGAATACATTATGAATACCTAGTGCACTTTTATCTCTTTCCACACCTCTGAATAAGAGTCTATTTCAGTTTTATTATAGACAAATGTGACAATCACCTATTTTTTAATATGGCATAATAGTGCCCCCTAAAGGATCTGGTAAGCATTTTGTTAAGAAGTATGAATTGAGATAATTTGTATTTGTTTCCAAAAGCTTTTCCTTATAATCCTTTTAATACAGTGGCATAACTGGTGAAAATTAGTGCCTTTATCTTTCAATCAGAGTCATTAGGAAAGTGGGTTCAGCTTCCAGGTGATTTCTTACATTGTTGGATAGAGCCATATCAGAAATGGAGCACATCTGCTTGCTTAACTAAAGCAACAGACTCCATGTTCTGTAAAAATGAGAAGATAATACTTCATGGAATATGAAGGACCAAACAGAAGTAAATGGCCCAGATTATCACTTTCAGTCATTTTTCTATACAGGTAGTCTTCAACCTAAGACCATTTGTTTAATGACCATTTGAAGTTACAAAGGCACTGAAAAAAATGACTTATGACCGGTCCTCACATTTACAACTGTCACAACATCCCCATAGTCACACGATCAAAATTTGGGCACTTGGCAACCGGCATGTATTTATGACAGTTGCAGCATCCCAGGGTCACATGATCACCATTTGTGACCTTCCCAGGGGGCTTCTGACAAGCAAAGTCAATGGGGGAAGCTGGATTCACTTAATAACCATGTGATTTGCTTAATGACTGCGGCAAAAAAGGTTGTAAAATCAGGCGTGACTCACTTAATGACTACATTGCTTAGCAACAGAAGTTCTGGTCCCAGTTGTGGTCGTAAGTCGAGGATTACCTGTATAGCATACTTCACACATGTGCTGAAACCCCAGATCTTATTTAATCAGGTAATTTGTAACTAGTTTAATTAGACCAAATGCATTCATTTTATTTGAAATTCTGTCTGTGATTGTTTCCTTCTTTTTCTGGATGTTTTATTTTGTTTTGTTTAACTATATTCCCTCTTTTCCAATAAACTAATTTTAGTCATGGACAGCTTATAGAAGCCACAATGACATCAAAATGTAAGGCAAAGTGATGCAGAGACGTATAGTAATTCATGTCATTTGAATGATGCCAATATAATACACACAATGTCATTTGCCCCACTTTCTGTTCCTTGTAGACATATTTGTATTTTCAGTATGTTCACAAGGCTATGCTAAATTCTATTTTTCTGGGCTTTAGATATTCAAAGCACCTTTTTTTGGTCTTTCCTAGAGCTGAGTTGAAGGAAGATGCTGTTAGTAAAAAGCCAAGAATTCCCCACCCAGACAGATTAGCGTGTAGTATTTTCTATGGACAGGCAGTCCTCGGCTAATGATGGCAATTGGGACTAGAATTGCTGTTGCTAAGCGATGCAGTTGTAAAGCGCGATGTCATGTGATTGTGCCAGCTAGCAATGGCAATTTTGGCACTCTGGATTGCTGTCATTAAGCAAATCACCATAGGTCATTAAGCAACAATATCAATTGGTGACCTCCTACTGGTTTCCCCATTACTTTGCTTGTCGGAAGCCAGCAAAGAAGGTTGCAAATGGTGATCACATGACTGTGGGGATGCTCCAATGACCAGAACTCCAAGGACTGGTCATAAGTACCACTTGTTCAGCACTGTCACAAGTTTGGATGGTTGCTGAACAAGTGGTCGCTAAGCGAGGCCCCATAATTACATTTTACTGGGACACTCTTGGAAGAAGTGGTATGCCAGTGGGACTTCAATTAACCCTCACCCTTTCTAGCTCATTACAGCAACTTAATATTTTACTATACTAACTTGCTGTTTATTATGTTCATACAACATTTGTATGTTGCCCACTCCACAGTTTCTATGGCAATATGCTTTACAGTAACTAGAGGGCAGATAATGCAAGATCCAATGTTCCCTTGAGGCCTGCCATGTCTGGATACTGAAACATAGTGATACCTCACTATGTTTCTCTCACTGAAGCGGGGCTTGAGAGAAGAACTAAAAGCAGCAATTCTAAGCTTAGCAATGTGGCTATGGATCATGTGGTTGCTTCAGTATTCTTCTCTTGGGTACTAGGCAATGACATTGTTACAAAAAATATTATGTTCCTATTTCCTCCTCCTCCTCCTCAAATAAAAATAAAAGCCCTCTGTCTTTTGTTTTTTGTTTATTCAGTCGCTTCTGACTTTTTGTGACCTGGAGAGACATTCCCTCTCCAGGATTGCCTGTCTGTAATTCTGAGTTTTTATAAGCTCATGCAGGTGTCAGGGACAGTATCTGGACAACTTGTCTTCTGACAACCTCTTTTTTGCCTGTCTGATTTTTCCAGACATCGGGGTCTTCTCTGATGACTCTTGCTTTTACATTATGTGTCCAAATCTTAAGTTTTAGCTGCATTACTTGTGCTTCCAGGGAACAGTCTGGCCTTGCTTCATCTGTTATTAAATAATTGGTTCAAGGTGTTCTTAACAATTTTGTCTAGCACCACAATTCAAAAGCATTTTTTCTTTCACTTATTCTTTCTGACAGTCCAACTTTCACAACCATGTTGCAACTGGGAAAGCTATAGCTTTCACAATATGTATCTTTTTCGTCAGTATGATATTTTTTCACTTTAATAATCTGTTTTAGAATTGGGAATTTTAAACAATATAAATTACATTACATTAAATTAAATTAAATTACATTACATTGCATTGCATTAAATTACATTAACAGCAGAAGAATAATTCTGAGGCAGCCATAGTATGAGTATTTATTTTATGTCCCTTTGTGTTACCTTGCTGAGGATGTCATCTGCAATTTCATATAAAGTGCTGTCACCACCACTTTTAGACCCTCCTTGATTGCTTCCTCCTTGTGTCAGCAGAAGAGATTCAAAGGTGATTTTTGTTTGCTGGAGATCCTTTGATATATCTACATTATCATGCAGCCCAAACACTTCTGGTTGCTGACTAACAGGAAGATTCTAGATATAAGACCATATTGATTATTTAAGACTGAACAGTTACTAAGAGACTGAGGAAATATTAATTTAATCAGTTAGTTTCATTGTTTGGCAGATCATTGGAGCTCTGCGGATTATAAAAAGGAATCTTTTTTCTAGGGTAAACAAGAAAATCCTACACTCAGACCAATGGTATATCAGCATTCATTATACTGAATATTTATTTATTTATTTATATGGCTGCCCACCTCACAAAAAGTGAATCTGGGCAGCATATAACAATTAATTAAAACAATAAATATATAAAACAATCATTAAAATATACAATACAAATTATAAAAATGTACTATATAAAATATAAAAACCACAAGGCACAAAAGAGAGTGAATGTTAACAATAATGGAGCCATCTTAAGGTCTCACCAGTCCCTGATGACATAGCTAGGTCTTGAGGGACCTTCAGAACAGGGATGGAGCTATCTCACTTCATGGGGGAGAATATTCTATAAGGTGGGTGCCACGGCAGAGGCCTGCCTCCTGGGACCTGCCAAGTGTAGTTCCATAGCAGACGGGATCTGCAGCATGCCTTCTCTATCAGATCTGATGGGACGGGCTGATATAATTGGGGAGAGGCAGTCCTTCAGATAACCTGGCCCCATGCCACCAAGGGTTTTAAAGGTTAAAACCAGCACCTTTAATTGGACCCAGAAGCAAATTTGCAACCAATGCAGCTTGCGGAACAGAGGTGAAAGATGTGCTGTTCTAACAGCACATATAACTGTGTATGCTGCTGCATTCTGCACCAGCTGAAGCTTCCAGATACTCTTCAAGGACAGCCCCACTGTAATGGGGAGCGCATTATAATAGTCCAACTGGGAGGTGACTAGGGCATGAGTGACTGTAAGCAGAGCCCCCCAATCCAGGAATGGGTGCAACTGGCACACAACAGGAAGCTGTGCAAAGGCCCTCCTAGCCATGACTGCTACCTGCTCTTCAAGCAGGAGGTGTGAGCCCAGGAGGACCCCTAGATTGCACACCACGTCTGTCTGGAGCAGTGCAACCTCATCCAGCATCAAAAATGGTATAGTCCTAGATCTGGCAGGCCCAAAACCCAAAACCACTCAATCTTGCCAGGGTTCTGCTGAAGCCTGTTGTTCCCCATCAACACCCTCATAGCCTCCAGGCACCAGGATAAGATGTTCATGGCATTGTTTAATTTCCCAGGGCCAGGGACATGTAGTTGGGTATCATCAACATACTGATGAAACCTCACCCCATGGTGACAGATGAGCTCACCCAGCAGCTTCATGTAGATAGAGGAGAGAGCACCAAACCCTGCAGCACCCCACACAGTAGGGGCCAAGGACAGGATCTCTCCTTGCCAATCACCACCAACTGGAATTGACCCTGGAGGAAGGAGGCGAACCAGCACAACACCGTGCCTCCCACCCTGAATCCTCTGAGCCAATCCAGAAGGATATCATAGTTGATGGTATTGAAAACTGCAAAGAGGTCAAGTAGGGCAAGGACAGATGCACAATCCCCATCCCACCCATGCCAGAGATCATCCAAAAGTGCAACCAATGCCATTTCTATCTCATACCCAGGTCTGAATCCTGACTGAAAGGGATCCAGATAATTCGCTTCTTCCAAGGTCCTCTGAAGCTGCTGTATAACCACCTTCTCCCCAAAAAGGGGAGGTTACATACTGGATGAAAATTCTCCAGTATAGTGGGGTTCAGTGATGACCTCTTGAGGAGGGGGCAGACCAAGTCCTCCTTAAGAGGTAAAGGAACAACCCCCTGACCCAAAGAAGAATTAACCACCTCTAGAACCCACTCACACAACACCCCCTGGGTCGCTTTAATAAGCCAGGAGGGGCATGGATCTAAAGAGCAGGTGGCTGAGCTCACAGTTCTAAGGCCCCTGTCCACTTCCTCAAGTCCAACAGGCTCAAACTGTTCCAAGATAACTGGGCAAGACTCCTCTCCAGGCATCCCCTCCAGACTTGTAACAAGGCCGGCATCCAACTCCAAGCAAATCCGAGAGACTTTGTCCAACAGATGCTGAACAAATTCCTCTGCACACCCCTGTAAGAGGTTCTCTGAGCCCCCCTACCCAAGATGGCTCATGTCACCCAAAACAGGGCTGTGGGACAGCTATCTGCAGATGCAATAAGGGTGGAGAAGTACTGTTGCTTTGCTGCTCCTACCACCCAGAGATAGGCCTTAATAGCATCTCTAACCCACATTCAGTCCAGTTTGTCCCTTGTTGAGTGCCAGTGACGCTCTAGATGTCTCTTTTCTCATTTCATCTCCCTCAACTCCTTTGTAAACCATGAGGCTTTGCTGCTCCTACCACCCAGAGATAGGCCTTAATAGCATCTCTAACCCACATTCAGTCCAGTTTGTCCCTTGTTGAGTGCCAGTGACGCTCTAGATGTCTCTTTTCTCATTTCATCTCCCTCAACTCCTTTGTAAACCATGAGGAGTGATAGGATGCCTGAGAGGGGAGAGGTTGCATGGGCACGATCCAATCCAAAGCCTCAGCCACACCCTTATTCCAAGTGGCAACCAAGGCCTCAGATGGACCGTGCAGCAGACCAGCAGGAACAACCCCCAGCTCCCTCTGAAACCTGTCTGGGTCCATCAGTCGCCAGGGATGGACCAATCTAATGGGGCTAGCCTCCCTGAAGTGGGCAGTGGTGCTAGAGAACCCCTAAGGTAATCAGGGCATGATCTGACCATAATAAGGGAGACACCAAGACCTCCCCCAACATCAGATCACATAGCCATTGCTCCAACAGGAACACCAGATCCGATGTATGACCACTATCCCATGTCTGGCTTTGCATGATCTGGGATAGGCCCATGCCCTCAAGGTGACCATGAACTCCTGAGCTGCCTCAGACCCCACTCCTAGAGAAAGTAGATTGAAGTCCCCCAAAACCATAAGTCTGGGGAACTCCACTGCCAACCCAGAAATGGAGTCAAGGAGCTCAGGCAGGGAGGTTGCTGTACAGCAGGGAGGCTGGTACAGCAGCAACAATCCCAACTGATCCCTAAAGCCCAGCATAATGAACAAGGTCTCACATCCAGTGACCTGTGGTGAAGCACCCCTGAAAGCCATGGGAGGTTCCCAGATGACAATTGGCACACCTCCACCCTTGCCCTGGTGTCTTGGCTGATGGCACACCCAAAACCCAGCTGGGCATATCTCCAAAAGGGTTACCCCCCCCCCACCTCTGGACCCAGCCAGGTCTCGGTAATACATGCCAGGTCGGCCTTCTCATCAATGATTAAGCCACTAATTACAGACCGACCTGGCAAATATTGGCAGTTTCTACCTTGAATTTCATTTGGCACTATTTTCTATAAAGTAAAAAGATAATATATTACAATTGTCTACAGATAGAAATGTACTCAAGATGAATTTAGCTTGCTAAGTTTAAAAAAATATGAACACAGTACCATAATGTAAAGTAAAATAATACCTTAATAAACTCAATGTAATCATCATAACTGCCCCTTGGGGGCGCATAATAGTTGCCACTAGGAGAAAAAGTATAATGTGAATTTTCCACTATATCTGGGTTGTAAAAGTCAGCAAGCATGGTCAGTAGTAGACGTCTGTCCCAGTCATCTGTCACTCTTCCTCCATAGTTGCACTCCCCCGTAAGGTAAGTTATTGCTTCAAATGGGATATGTTCATATTCATTTATAAACAACTGAAATTGTAAATGAAATACTCAGATTAAAAACATTCACACTATACAATGATTTGCTCTTGTAGTACAGCATTCTAATGCATAATCAGAGTTACTGTATCATCCCTTTGAGGAGCCATACTATTTTTGTTAAAGTTTACAAGGGACATCAGTGACAATAAGAATACTCAGGTGGTTCTCTAAACTTTTTGGTCTGTTAAAAGAGTATCAACATTTCAGGACTGGACTATTTTTCCCAATGGTGTTCTGGAATGGCCAGTTCAAAGGAACATCTTTTAAGTTTACTGGCAAGCTGGACGTAATTTCCTTTTAACTTAATTCAGTTAATGGAAAAGACACATTAATTCTAATATATTTAACAATACAGCTCTTGTGCATACATACTGTTTCAAGCAAGCTTACTAGCCTTTTAGTTGCCTTTGGTAAGGCAATATTAGGCACAAAATACAGGTGGACAAAGTACAGTGGTACCTCGGGTCACGAACTTAATTTGTTCTGTGACTCTGGTCGCGACTCGAATTGGTCGCAACCCGAATCAAATTTTCCCATAGGGTTCAATGTAAATACGGTTAATCCGTTCTGACACCTATGAATC